CCTATCTCACCTCACCCACCCCCAAAACCCCAAAACCCCAAAACCCCAAAACCCCAAAACCCCGTATTAATTCCAGTATATTGAAAGTCCATTAAAACAGGCAATGTCATTTGATTTAGTATTGTGAAAAAGGAATATCTGACGATTTTATCGAGTTTAGAAGAGCTCCACAAGCATGCATCTTGCAGAACCGCCTCCAATGTTCTCAATAATATCAATATCGCCTACCACAATCTTATAGTTTTGTGATAGGATCTCTAGCTTAGAAGGATCATAAGCCTCATTCGCTGTCTTGCTCATGACAACACAGTGGTTATTATTTGAGTCAAGAACATCAAATGCGTTGGCGCACATATGAGACGATTCCTCGAAAGTAATATTGATGATTTCTTTAGGATTGGTGTTAAGGCTAAATTCTGTGATTTCCTCTTGAACAATTCTCTTCTCGTTCTCGTCTCTAATAGCGTCAAGACAAACAAGAGCATGCTTGCTGAACAAGGTCATCATACAGTCAGTGTGGTAGATTCCTTCTCCATCCGCATCAGTTGCTCTGAACTTGACACCTTTGATTCTCCTTTCGCTGGTTTTCGATGCAATTTGATTTAGCTCGTCAATCATGTAGTCAAAGACTTCTTCGTGCGCTCTATCTGAGATATTTCAGTAAATCTTTCCATTTTCCCAATCTGTGACTAGAGCGCCTTTCAGTTCGAGGTACTTTCCCTCGGCTTCGTATACAGAGAGGTCGATAACATCTTGGTATCTAGTAGAAAGTTCGTCAATGACATCCTTCATTCTTTCTTTTCTTCGTTCCAAATTCTTCATAGCCGAGATTATCAAGACTCCATTAGGAAGGGTTGGGTTTCTAGCAGTCGTGAACCAATCTGGGAAGATACTGTCAGCCGCCTTTACTGACTGGTGGAAAATTTCAGTCTTAATACCGTTATCTTCAAGTTCTTCAACATAGTTAGAAAAAGCCTCTTGGGCTTGAAGAGTGCTTTCCTCTTCCGACATTTCAATGTATTCCTTCTTGATAAACTTGTTATCTTCAAGGGCTTCTCTATTGACAAAGAAGCCGAGGTCAGGAGAGATGAGTCCTACCTTGGAAGTAAAGTAACCATAGGCGTCTTCCCTCTCGTCGTCGCTCCCAGGGTTCTCGTTCACCTGGATTCCGTCAGCAGGGACATTATCAATATCAATCATTTAATTTATTTAATAAGATCACTCCAATTTTTTTATATTCACTCGGGGTTTTGGGGTTTTGGGGTTTTGGGGTTTTGGGG